GTCAATCGGTCGTGTACTGGGGAGTCACGATCGAGCAGACTGCAACACAGGCAAACTTTGTGGTGCAGGTGCATTGTTACCATGCAAGGACCGCTTGAGCCGAGCCCACTCCCTCGTCTGCACCAAGACCGGCGCCTCAACCTTCCTCCATAACAGGATGGTTCGAGTGGTCCTCAAGACACTGCGCGAGTGCCATATGCCCATCGCCGTTGAGGATTCTTCCCCTTTTACCACAGGCACTGGTAGGGGAAAGGGGCTATACAAGATGGATTTGGTAATCCCCCCAGGATTACACGCAGGAGAGAAGGAAGAGGAACTCTGCCAAGTCCATTCATATAGACGGAACAATCGTCGACCCATCCGAAGGTCCAAGCAACAAGTCGATGCAAAAGCCAGGATCCGCCCTCGAAGATCGAGCTGCACGTAAGGCAAATCACTATGCGGGAACTTTCAACCCGTCTAGATCTACCCTCCTTATTGCTGCTTTTTCAACGAATAGTGGTCTTGGCAAAGGCACCAATCGACTCATAGTTGCTATCGCCAACCACTTGGCGCACGAAGCTTTTTGCCGGGGGAATTTCGAAGACTAACGAGCCCTAGTTCGCCTGAAAGCGTTTCATACTAACAGGATTCGGAGACGGTTTACCTTCGAGCTAGCTCGTTTTCTGTCGATGCGAACTCGCGATGTGTTCAAACGTCATGGGCTACTGATCGACCAACTTCCACCAGGGCCAATCGGTTGGGATCTCTGCGACAACGATAGTAATGAGGGTAATTCTTTTGGGAGTGACGAAGACGAAGGAAAGGGAAAGGGGAGAAAGGAGGATGACGACGATGGAGCAGAAAAACATGGAGGAGTGGAAGAGAGCAAAGGATTTAAGCCAGATGACCTTCCCCAAAACAAAAAACGTAGGGGTACGGAAGAACTGCCCAGAGATTCTTGTCAAAATGAGGATCAGAATGATGNGGGGGAATTTTGACGACAAAAGAGCCTTAGTTCGCCTGAAAGCTTTTCATACTATAACAACAGGATTCGGAGACGATTTACCTTCGAGCTAGCTCGTTTTCTGTCGATGCGAACTCGCGATGTGTTCAAACGTCATGGGCTACTGATCGACCAACTTCCACCAGGGCCAATCGGTTGGGATCTCTGCGACAACGATAGTAATGAGGGTAATTCTTTTGGGAGTGACGAAGACGAAGGAAAGGGAAAGGGGAGAAAGGAGGATGACGACGATGGAGCAGAAAAACATGGAGGAGTNCAAGTGCTTTGTGTTTTCAACCGCTCTGAGACTGACGTCGTTTCATTGGTCAGCCGGTTAGCACGGTCGATACTAAAAATAAAAAACACACACAAACACACACACACACACACAGAGCACCACTGCAGAGAGGAAGACTTACTTACACGCCAACACTTCGAAAAAACACACACACAAAAACGACCTGTGCACGCAAATCCCGAGCAAGGCCTCCGCGCAAAAGTCGCCGAGGAACAGGCACAGCGATTTTTTACGGGTTAGGTGGGTCCTGCAAGGAGAAGAAAAAAAAACGCTCACGTTCTTCTTGAGGTTGCGGTTCTTCATCCAGAGCGCGACGACCGGCTGGTACTTCTCCACGAGCTGGCCGATGAATTGCTTGACCATCATCATGGTCATGAGCAGCTGCCGCAACCGCTTGAGGTCCCTGAGCCAGAAGCCAACGTACAGGAGACTGCAGTACGAGTTCACGAACTGGAAGACGAACATCTATCGGAAAAAAAGAGGGGAGGGGGGGGGGGGGGGGGGGGGGG